AAGACTTCAATTCTTTACAGGGGTAGAAAGCCTCATCTTTCTCCCATGGCATATAATGTTAGGACTTAATAATGCTCCAGTGTCAGACATTCATGCTTCCATTATCTTAATTCAGTGACAGCATTATGAACAACAGGCACATTAACTATCCCTTATAAACATACAGCCATGTTTCTGCATTCAAGTAAAAGCCAGATAAACTATTGAAAATCAATGTAGGGAAGTACGGAAACCAAAGCTATCACATCACACTCTAAGCTGTCCAGTAATGTTATGGCAGATGAAAATGTTGTCATGTGCAAGAGTTTATACTTCTCCAATATGTAAAAAACGTCCAATAGCTCTGCTTATCCTGTACCCAGTTATTTTACAGCATTATTGGTAAAGCACTCTATTACTACTGCTGTTGAGTTGACTCCAATCCTACAGGACAGAGCAGAACTGTCTTATAGGGTTTTAAAGGCTGTGAGTCTGTCCAGAAGCAGACAGCCACATCTCTCTCCCCTGGAGCCACTGACCTATCAGTCAGCAGTTGAATGCCTAATCACCGTATCTCCAGAGCTCCCAAGGCAACCTGTATCAATACCTTATGTAGGCTATCTGGCATTAATGCTAATATCCATCTATGAAGAAAGTATATAAGAATAACAGCTATTAAAAAAACCCTACTAAATAAACAGTGGATGAACAATTTTGGGGGGGGGGAACCCGTTGGAGAAGAGAGGTCCTGTGTCATATGTATTTTAAGACAATCAAATAAATTTGGTATGCTTTGATATTTCCCAATCTCAATATTTATTTTATCTAAAAGTCCATCAGATACATTATTTATGATAATTATTATTTTTGAGCAGTAAAAAGCCCACATAAGTTACATTTGTCCTTATATTAAAAGTTTTTAAAATGTCTGTTTTTTTCTGTATTTCTTGTCTATATTTTTATATTCTGCCCTTAGAATATCTAAATTTTGGAACTAGGAAGGACTGACCCATTTCCATAGCTGTAAAAAACTCTCTTTGCAGTCCTGCTGGTATGTTGGGCTGCTAAATGCAAAGGCTGAAGTTCAAACCCACCAGTTGCTCTATGGCAGAAAGATGAGGCTTTCTACTCCCATAGAAAAGTACAGTTTCAGAAACTCACAAGGAAATGATTGACGGTAGTGAGAGTGAGTTCTGAGTAATAGATATAGCTAATATACTAACACAGTATATTTATTTGTATTATAAAATTATTTGAATGTTTTAAGATGATCAAGCTGAACAATGAAAACCAAAATAGCAAAGCAATAATGAAGTGAAAATGAAATTATACTTTTTATTGTGTCTTCAACTGCAGCTTAAATGTAGCTGTATTTCAAATCCAACCAAATCTTATCTGCTTATGTATTAAACTTTTATCACGCTTACTATTGTATATTTAAAAACTGATTAATTGATATTCTTAACACTAGAGAAATAATGGCAGAAACTGAAAAAAAAATAAAGGGTAAGTAGTTATTTCAGCTTAGAAGTGAAGCTATATATCTAAGTTATATATCTTGTAACACTTAACTGAGAAGGCAGTATTTATGTGTCACCTGACCAGTGATGCTTATAAACTATTTACAGCAGTATCATTTTGACTTTTAAAAAGCTCGTCCATAATATATATATGTTTGTGTATACATATAATAATTCAACAGATATTTTATAAATGCTTGGCTGCCAACCAAAAGGTTGGTGGTTTGGATCTAACGGTGGGTCTGGAGGAGAAAGAGGTGGCGGTCTGCGTCTGTAAAGACTTCCAGCCCTAGAAACACGATGGCAGCAATCCTAGTCTGTCTAATTGGGTGTCTGTATTGGAATTGAATCAAGGACAGTGAATTTCTTTGTTATATATGACGGTAAATCAAATTTGCTAGAGCTGGCCCAAGCAATTATAAATGTAGAAGGATTTTCAATTCTTTGCTAAGAATTGGAAAGCTATGTCTTTGAAACTGCAATCATATTGAATAAACTTGAAAATTTTTCTTTGACTTTTCCAGAATTCATGGCAGGATTTTAGGGTTATTATTGTAGATATGATTCTGCTATGGATTTTGTGGAGGGGCAACTTTATACAGCTTTTCAGTTGATAAATACTAGTTGCAAGTGTGGTTAGACATATGTTTCCCACTGAATCCGAATAATACCAGTAAACATGCAAAGAAGGAAGAAATACTCTTTACCTTCTCCAAATAACTCAAAGAAATGAAAGACTATTGGCTAAAGTTATTCTCTTGTAGATACTCTTGGTAGGTATCAGTAAACAATACCAAAATTTAACATAAGTAAACAGGGAATTTATTTAATAATTTTTAAAAACAGATGTCCTAAAAACATAGATGACCATGCTTGCCTTCTTTGGCTCCTTGAGTCCAGCCCTGTCCTGATTCAGACCATGGACACAGAGTCCATACCAAGATTAACAGTCCCACCAGCATGCGGCAGAAAAGTTATTTCCACTCTACCTTCTGAATTACATTACTCTTGAAAGTGAGACTCAAATCGCATGCCAGATAAATTATAGCCTTAAACTTTACAAGTTAGCAACAAGCATCTTGAAATATATATATATATCAGACTAATTTTCAAAGACATTTATTTGCTGTACAGAGTAAAACATTGACATTTGATAGATGATCTCAAACCCTCAACATAATGACATCCTTGAACTAATTATTGTCAAATAATTTCTACTCTTGTTTCAGTTTCATTTTATCTCCACAGACTTGTTTATCTGTGTAAATATGCTTTTTATAATGCTATACTTAAAATTTTAAATCTTAGGTAAAGTACATGATTTTATTCTTTTGTAATCATACCTATATATACTTCTATTAAGCTAGTTTGTTCCTTTAAGTGATATATTTTTAAATCACCAACTTGAATATTGTGGCACATACATCAATAAATTACTTAAAATGTGTTTAACCTATGTTCATATTTTAAAAAAATACAAAAACAAAACACAGATTATGCTATAAGCCAAAAAAGGTAACAGTAATAGAATGTTTTGATAATTTTTATTGAATATTAACTTAAAACACAATAACAACTCTCCATTTGTATTTTGTTTCTAAATATTGCTTCTAAACTACAGGCTGATCAATTAAGGACTCTTTTAGTTTAGCATAGCAGGAGGAAACATAGAGAAAATGGAACCCAAACATGTGTGGCTCTTTCATCACATCCAGTGGTAAAGTACTGCCTCTATTGGAGCCTAAAGTTATTCAGAAGGGGTCACACTTGGCATTATAAAGTCTTTTCTTTCTTTTTTCAACTCCAACTTCAAATGAGAGAAAGACATCATAAACTTAATTCACCACTTTCTCTTTGGGTACACACACTGCACACCACACCCATACCCACACCCACACCACACACACACACATGTATATTTTTAATTCAGGAATCTCTTTTCTTAGTTTGAATGGAATAAAAATGATAACCTTAAACCATAGCGTCAGAATTCTCATGTTGGGAGAAAGATGTCAAGTAGGGGAAAAACCCAAACTCGCCTTTCTAGGCGTCCTAACAATCTAAACCCAACGTAAGGGAAAACAGTGAGACGTGAAGCAACACGGGCTTTATCCCTCAATCGTTTTTAGCAATATTGTGGTAATATGCCCAGTGTTCTGTCAGAAAAAGTGACACAAGGTTTGCACAATTACAGAGTCGGGGTCCTGGTCAATGGCTTCTTTTGAGGACTAAAGAAAATTAGCTCAAGAATCACCGTTTCTACACTTGTTCCTCTGGCTTCAAGTGCCTTTTCAAGGGAGTATCCCCAGATGAGAAACTTCTAACACTCATGCAGAGACGACCTGCTTGCAGAACTGGCTGCCTGATTAACTATTAACTGTTCTCAATAGGATTAGATAATTAAGGACATTGATGACCATTAATTAGGAGGAGGGCACATTAATTTGTCACTGGATAGGGCCCTTACAATGATTTATAGGTTGGTGATGCTTGCAAATGTGAAGGAAAAGAGAAAAAGAGAGAGAACCATTAAGTTCCCTTATCAAGTGGCCAGCTAAAGAGGGCAGAGGGTCAAAAAAGGGCCAAAGTGGTCACTTAAGGGTGAAGTCCCAAACACCAAAGCTGTGCCAAGCCACATTGACCATCATGTGGTGATGAAGTTAAAAATATGCTAATTTATTGGTGGCAATTCTCTTTTTATGGTTTCAAGCAGTTAAGACAAGTGGCCTGCTTAAGAGCTTTTCATTTGAAAAGAGATTAAACAAAATGGTTTGTCAAAGCTGCTTGGCTGTTTTATGTCTTTGTTTAAAAAAAAATTGTACAGACTATACTGATAACTATCACATCACCCACAAGCCATCTTTCTCTGAGCATTCACTTCATTAATAAATACATCAGCTCTAATTGCTTAATAGTTCTATGTTCATTTGGTCTTTAGCAAGATTAAGTTGAAATAAATCTTTTGTACTACTTTCTGTCACTATTGCTTACATAAAGGTCACACAAAAAAGATATCAAATTTTGTAGAAGTTTGCTTAAAGACAGAGCAAATTATACTTTAATTCAACACAGAATGCTAAAGGTGGTTTCACTAGTAGTAAGGAGAAATGCTTTTAGAATATAGATATGGATCCTCCGTTTTTAGACACCCACAATTGTGGGAAGCATACACATTCCACACACAGGAAGCACAGCTCATTAACACTTAATTAAATATGCTTCGAAAGACTTAGAAATCTGCATGTCATATTTATTATGTAAGTTTGGGGTTTACTTTTAATACCTACTTAAGTGAAGATCAGTTTTTGCTATACTCCAGTTACATATTACTAAAATTAAAGACAAAAACAGCAAGCCTTCAGAAGCACCATTCTGATATCCCAAAAGAACTTACAAATGATTAGCATGAAACAGGTTTCAAGAATTTCATTCAAGTAGAAAAAAGGAAGGGATACCATTTCCCTTAAGACTGTGAATTAAAACATTAAATTGCTCTCTTACCTCAATGGTGAACAGCTTCCTTTTTAATTTGAAAGCTAAGTCTTTCACATCTGAGATATCACCAGTCAGGTTATTAAGTCGAGGAATCTTCCGTATATGAATCAAACCTTGTGTCCCGGAAATTAAAAGAGACAAAAATTAAGGTGCGGTCATCAGATGCATAAATTAAAGAGTCTGATAGCAGAATTCTGTAAATTTACACACAAGCATCCTCCCTTTTAAAACTGGAGCTTACTACCAGGAGCAATGAAGCAAATGGTGTGATTATACTCAAGTAATCAAGCAGAATAAGATAAACAGAAATCCTTGTGCGAGGAAAACTAATTGCACTTGGGTACGGAAGTACAGATGTAAAGAGGGATCTTAATACTTGTCAAAACTACAGCCGGTTTGTGTGTGATTTTCTCTTGTATTTACAGTAAGCAAATATGGCTATCACCTTGCACGCTGCCCACGGCACCGCGGAGTGATCTTTATTTTATTAAATGCACCAGTAAGCAGCCAGCAAAACAAGACTTTATGGGTTCCTGATAACCAGGGGAGCACTAAAGAAAAGTGTTTTCTTTTCTACCTTCTTAATGACTTGAACAAAGCATAGGAGAGAACTACATTTCAGAGTATGCGTTAGGATCAAACCTTACCCCTTGATGCTGGTCAAGGCGCACGCATCGCTGTGGCATGCTGGCCGCGAGTGCCCTCAGCAGTGCTGCAGCAGTGCTAGGTAACCGTGAGACGTGGTCTCTTGTCAGTAGAAACGCGCTCATTTTTTCTGACAAGGGGACTGGATGGATGACTTTTGTGCAGGCTAATGTAGTTACTGACTAAACTGGGGTCATTCACTAAGGAGGAAGACATGGGGTGTGTGTGTGTGGGGGGGGTTCTTCAGTGCTTCTCTGACTGACTCTCTCCATATTTTAAAATCACATTTTTGAGGATAAAGATCCCTAAGACATGAGGGAAAAGACAAGTTCCAGATTGGAATAAATTAGATGAATTTTATTTACAGAACAGCTTCTCTAGCTCAAGGGTGGGTGTGTGTTTCAATGCTCAGCAATGAATGGCTTTGTAGTTTGGACTTACAAGGGCAAACCTCCAGATATGGAACTTCAGAAGTGGCCCCTTTGAGAGGACCATTTAAAGATCTGACTTAATTTTTAAACTTACAAAAGGGCAAATATGCTATGGAAGAAGACCGTTTTTAGCTATCAATTAAAAATAACTCATGTAGAGCTATTTAGTGAAACATTCATTAGAAATAGACATACCATATTTTTCTATGTATACTTAGTCCTCATTTTACCCTGACATAGGCTTGTTGAGCTAGCTATTAAACCAAGAAGTCCTAGAGAATAATAAATGATTGCACAGTCCCCTCCTACTTTACTAACCTAATCAGCAGAACAATTCATGAAGCCGTGGAAAATTAATTGATCAATTCAGACATTTCAGCACGAAGGCCCATCAGAGCATTTCAATCCTTAAAGTAATCAAATTAATCTTTTTTTTTTAGAACATAATATATACAAATAAACCCCAAGCAAAAGGAAGATTATCACTATGGTGGAGTTGATTCGGACTCACGGTGACCCTGTAGGGCAGGGTAGACCTGCCCCTGTGAGTTCCCGACACAGTAACTCTTCATGGGAGTAGAAAGCCTCCAATTCCCCTCACAGACTGGCTGGTGGTTTTGAGCCGCTGACCTTGCAGTACACAGCCCAACGTGTAACCATTACACCACCAGGGTTCCTTCCTATAATTTCCCTAAATTAATAAGCTGGTAATACTTACAAATGATAATGAATATAATTTATTAAAGTAACATTTAATTTGAATTGTTTTAGGAGAAAATGGACATAATAAAGAAACACCATATTCTTAACAGATCTCTTTCTATTATAATAAAATGATGTGTTAAATATTATAAAATAGTTTTCACTTGAGCATATACTCTGTGTACTTACACAAATACATAATTCTGTGGCAAATTATTTTTACAGTAGCTTTTGTTCACAGTTTATATTCTCTAGTGTTTTTATTAATTGATTTTTAGATCATCCTGGTTTTATTCTTTTGAAAAAGGTCATTATGCTGACTCTTTAAAGTAGTGACTGAATTTATCAAAAAAAGTATCATGTAATCTCTATGTTTTCTAATATGTAGAGCAGCAACAAAAATTACCACAATCTTAGATATCAGATAGTCTTGTAGCAGACTGCAAATACTCTGTTCAGTCCTTAGACTACAGGTTCCCATTGAAGTATAAAAATGTCACAATAATAACAATGTTTTATGTACATTCAGAATTTCACATTAGATAAGGTAGGAATCTATTGTTTATTATATTCTATTTAAACTTAAGGTATGCACAATACTATTTTCTTACTATTTAAATACTTCTATGAAAGAGCTTTTATTTTAAAAATCTCAATTAGTAAATGAATAAAATATTATTAAAACTTGAAAAACCCTAGTGGGAAGTATGATTAATTGACCAAGGTGACAATATTTAAAATTTTTTCATAACTCTAACAATGTGAAAGAATGAAAAATAAGGTTTCCCTATATGTACGGGTTTTAGACACAGTCTGTAGTTTGCTTGTCTACACAGCTAAGTTTTGTAAAGTATAAACTGCTATCCAAAGCTGCTATTACTAGATTTAACATGATATTTATTTCAAACATGGTTAATAAAAATTACTGATTGAGAACAACTTTAGACCACTGGACTAATAAAATGTACATCTGATTAAGCTACTAGGGCTTGAATCCTTTCAAAGGATTAGCATACTTCCTTAACATTGGCTAGGAATGCAAAACATTCTATAGCCATAAAATAAAAATCATGCTACTTGATGGCAGATGTTCCAACTGGGCCATCAAGGCATCTTAGAATGTTCATCTTAATCTTAAAGTGATGCTTACCATGATAATCCTTATATAGTGGGTTGGTTTCTTTCTCAGAACCCATAAATGATTCCAGCCCAACTACTGTATCTGACAAGTTTGCAACACGAGCAATAACTGCTTTATTCTGTAAAACAGGAAAATAAAATGTTCACATTAATTGATTTAATTGAGATTAAATATCTATACAGTGCTCACCATGCTTTCTCTTTAAAAAATTTCATAACTCTAACCAACAATAATATGCATAAATGGAAAATAATTTTTCCCATTATGGTGGGATTTTAAAGCATGACATAGTATGTAGTTTACTTGTCTAAAAAGCTAAGCTTGGTAAAGAATAAACTGCTATACAGAGATGCCATTACTAGAATTAACATAATATTTATTTCAACCTTGGCTAATAAAAACTACTGACTCACAACAAAAGAAATAACTTAAAAGTTAAAGCTCATCACAGGCTGAGAACAGGGCAAATGCTCTTCATTGACAATCCCAGCCCATGTAGGTGGTACCATTCAAATTACAAGAGCAAAGGAGACATGCCTTGATCTTGTTAGAAAATGTAAATGACTTTTATCTTGTCTTAAGGAGTATATTTGGAAATTATTATTCTTCACACGAGTTCACTCATTGGACAACCAGAAGCAATAGAATGCAAGCGTTCTATAGCTGCCTGTCAGCTGACACCAGGTAAGAGTCTAACAACAGCGGAGGTTCTTTCATCATGATCGAAGCTTTGTAGGGTCTAAAAACTGCAGCACGGCTAGCTCTAGGTCTTCAGAGGTCTTTTTCTGGATGCTGCTATTAGTTTTGACAAGAAAAAGACAAAGAAAAGATGGCAGCAGCTAGCACTAGATCAGGAGCTGACTCTTCCTTCCCAAGACAATCTGAAAATGTATGAAAATATTGGTAAATAATACACCTTTAAAAATGTGACCACATTTTACCATACTAAAAAAATCCTTGGTATGCTTCTGACTAGAGCAGGTCTCTAGTTATTATGAGGCAAATGTTCTAAACTGTCCAGAATTTGTTTATAAAAATACAAGCAATAAAGATCCTGTAGTTGTTTTTTTCCCAAAAACCATTTAGTTGGGCATTTTTTCCCAAAACCATTTTGCTTATCATTCAATCACATCAAGCAGTTCAATCACTTGAAGCAATATTGTACAATTGCTACTACAATCAGTTCCAAAACATTCTCTTCCTCCCTGAACTCTTAAGATACCAGCTCCCCTTATCCTGTAGTATTTTAAAGAATTATTTCATTTAAAGGAAGGTCAATATTCTCTTTAGCCTTTGACAGAGTGGTAGGTAAGGAAATTATTATTTACTACATATTGATATACATACACTCATATATAAGCATCTACATGCACATATCTGTAACTGAGGGTGTACAAAACATTTGTGGAAAAATATAATTAAAAAATAATGGATTTTTTCATAAACTTTTCCAACCACATATATATTATTTATACATCTATATGGAGCCCTTGTGGCATCATAATTAAGTTAAAAGTTAGTTCAAATCCATCAGCTGCTTCACAAGAAAAAAATCTGGCAATTGAATTCTGTAAAGATTAACATCCGTGGAAATGCTACAGCCAGTTCTACTCTGTCTTACAAGGTGGTTATGAGTTGGAATCGATTCAATGGCAGTTGGGTATGTTTTAAAAAATATTTAAATGTATATATATACATACATACGCACATAAATACATATACACGCGTATATAGGTTTTCTCACAGAAGACCTTGATAAGATGAAAAAAATTATTACTTAGAAATATACTTCTAAAACTTTTATTTTTTATACTTAGTAATGCCCAGCAGTTCAAAATGGCTTTTTTTGAAAATGGGAAATACAAAACAGTTAAGAAATAATTAGTCTGATGCTATCCCCTATTAAGAGAAAAGCAAAAAGCAGTAAAAGATATTCACTTTCTGACAATCCAAGCATACTAACATTTGCTTAATCTTCTTGTAAAGATTGTGTAAGAATAAATAAATAAAGGAAGATTGGTCAAATGTTACCTTCCTCAGTAGGGTGAACTTGATATGGTTAACTTAAACCTTGGGTAGCACATGAAAGTCTTTTACAAACATGAAGGTGTATTAGATGAAGCATGTTTCATCCATTCAAGTATTGCTCTTAAAAAGAGCAAGTACAAAGAATTATCCTTAATTAAAAAAATAGTTTCAATCATATGGGCACCAAGTATAGAAAAACAAGCATAATTTGGGTATGCCCCTTTTCTCAGAGGCAATGTTTCATCCAGTGGTGAGAAAATAATCCAGATTGATTCCTTACTTTCAATGCTGTGCCACAGGGGATAGTCCTTCTCCAGGAAAAACAGGGGCTTCCGAGGCCATAAACACGCTCCTCTCAATAGTTCTTGAGCCAAAGACCATTATATCAAACTCATCCAGGTTGGGTTTCAGCCAGTTATTCTTCACCCAAACAAAAATGTCTGCCAGACATTCCAACAGCTGGGAGACAGTTCACAATGAGTCAACTTGAAAATGATTCATTGTGCTGAGCACTGAACAATGTTAGGGTGGGGGTGGGGTGGGGCTGGATTGGTGGTAGAGGGTGAGAACAAGCGGGAGATGAGGAATAACCATGTGGTTCCCCATTAGGAAAAATCTTGGATAACAACCAGCAGACTCATACAATTTCATTTTTACAATAAGCTCAACTGGGAAGAGTACTCCTCTCATGGAACTTCAGATGAACAAGCATTTTAAAGGCCACTGACAATATTTCTTAATCAAGAAGGTCAGATTTCCTTTTTTCTATAAGTAGAACACTAAACCTTTGTGTCTAAATATCTGAATCTAAATAGTAAGTTGATTTTTGTTAAAAATTCCTTAAAAATTTTTTTTTAGGATTTCTATGATATAAACTAAGTTTTTCCCCGCCTCCAAATTAGGAATTGTAAGACTTATTGACAGGCTTTGTAAGCAGCATACTACATATTTATTTATATAGTCAGCATTTACTTGTTTCAAAAAAGGGTTTTTCTTCCTTAACTCAATCTTAAGATTCACTAATAAATCATTCACTAGTGTATAAAACTTAGCAAATTATGTATCTTTTAAAAGTGGTTTGTGAGAGACAATAAGAAAAGTTAAGTATGCACATTAAAGAAGGAAACTAATGACTTAGTGAATATATAAGGTTGGATCTCAAAATTTACTAGAACCTCATTAATATATTTATTTCTGAGTTCCAGCGGTTTACATCATAGTCATTAACTACAAACTAAGTTCTATTTTAAAAACATACATGAAGTATTAGGACGAGAGGAAACTTTTAAAATTATACAATGCCCACAAATAAGTTTTATTATACTGATACTGCTTTCACTCAGACATGTTAGTAAATAGGTTTAAAAAAAAATGTGATAGGGCAAAATAGGCTAATGATGAAAGTTGTACAGGCATATGAAAACTGTCTAAAGAATAAAAAGCAGTGGAAATTAAGTTTCTGTATGAGATAGCTTTTACCTTGATGAAAGTTGTACAGGCATCTAAAAAGTGTCTATAGCATAAAAAGCAGTGGAAATTAAGTTTCTGTCTGAGATAACTTTTACCCTAAATATAAACCTATTCAACCTTCCAGTTACTTGTAAAAACTTATAAGAAGATTTTGGCATGTAAATGTCCTTTTTTTTAAAGATGAAAAGTGCTGCAGAGTTACATTTGTACCATAAAGATTCATAAAGAGTATGTTGATTTAATCTTAAAACCATTCTTGTCCAAAGGTGTTTTAAATCATCATTATCCTCAATGGTCTTCAAGATAAAAATAGGTGAATTCACTTAAAATAATCTAAAATGAACAGCTTAAAAATACAACCCTTAGAAGTAAAATGACCATGATTCACTTTAGAGGAATATACTATGGATAATAAGTTATCATAATATAACCCCCAATGTTCAAAAAGCTTTTCTGAACAGCAGCGGAACTTCCACATTTTCATCCTAACAGTTGCTAAGTGCTTTTATGTTTCTAGATAAGAGTCAAAGCCTCCTTGGTCTTCAGTATATGTAGTTGGAAATGGAACGAGAAAGTATTTGTGCTTCAAATACGTAGACATAAGATTAGAATTTAATTTTTATATTAATTTTGAATTTGTTATATTACAGTTTCCAGTAAGGAACACTTCGAGTGAGGACATTCAGGATTCACCATTATGAATAATTTGATGGCTACAGAGCCACGCATGGCATAATGATATCACTCAAGTATGTACAATGATACTGCCACTCCTCTTTGCCCATCTGGATGTGCGAATCTCAGATGGCTCGAAAATCCTTCTTATTCTAGACGAATCTCCCTTCACTCCTGGGTGAAAGTTGTCAGTTCTGGACAGTAGCCAAGACATGACTAGGAGAGAAGCCAGAACAGAAGAGAGCCAGTGTCCAGGAGTTTCAAGAGTTTGCTGGGAGTCTCAAACCGCAATGTTTTAAGTGACATAAAAGGATCTTAAAATTATCCATTACAGGATTATTTTCCAATTCATTATTAAAACTTAAATTATGTCAAATGTTGGTGCAACTGCACAGGCAAATAAACTTGTGTAGTCTTCTATCTTCCTGCTTCAATTTTAAACTGCAAGGCTGATTGTTTTGCATGCTCCTTGTCTGCTTTCATAACCTGCTTTCTGCTTGTTTGTACAGAATGGCAATACTATTTTCATTATGATACCCTAAATCCATTTAAGTGGATTTTAACTGAGTATTAATTTGATGCTCCCTTTCAAGCCAACCACAAATGCTCTAAACTATGTACTTAGTTAAGTGATAAAAAATTAAGCTATTGTCCAATAAATTCCCTATCACTTTCTAATAAAACTAGTTAATATACCTATCTAGAGTTACTAAAATTGCAGAATACTTCAGACTCTGGATTTTTCCTTCCTACCTGAACCTAACTTTCTTCAATTATCTCAAAATCAATCGCCTAATTATTACAATAACTTTTATACCAAGTCAAAATATAGTTCTAGAAAAGATTTTAACAAGAGAATCAAGAAGTAATGAACCAATAGTTTAACGAACATGAGGCTTGAAAGGAATGAACCAATTAACATAAAGCACTTCCACAACATCACAA